TTAGAGTTTAGGGTTTAGGGGGCTCCCACACACACAGAATGACAGCTTCGTTTTTCGTCGCTCTCTTGATAGAAAGGACATGTGCTCAGCCAAGGGTCCGAATAATCTATGTCGTGTACCTCTCGCAAGTACCTGCAGGCCGCGCAGCTTTGCTGAGGATATGGGGGTTTCCGAAAATCGGGGACCCTAATGTAGTACCCTAAATAATAGGTTCCTTATTATAAGGACCCCAAAATAAGGTACCCCCAATTTTCGAAAAGTCCCATATGTTCTACCAATACCCGACGTTTGTGTCTACACATGCCACCTGTAGTGATTACACATGCTACCATGGCAACACCTAAAATCCTAGCGGAACCATTCGCCCTAAGTAAAACAGGCGCCAGATACAAGTGAGGATTTTCAAAGAAATACTCCTCTGCACAACTTCGCGAGCACCCGAAGCGAAATTAGAAAAGCACATTGAGAGGCTACCTTCAACACGCACAAGCCCTAAACCCGAAGCCCCTAAACGTCGGTAAGCTTTTCAGTCTTCCCGAAATTCCGAACCTCAACTGCCATACCACACGCGCATAAGACCCACAAGCCCCGATCCAACATCACCCACCAAGGGCACCGCAAACTGCAAATGACGAAATACTAAACGTCCGGCAAAACCGTAAAAATTGAGCCCCTAAATCTCGAAAAACCTGAAACCTCTCAAACCCCAAAACTTCTCAAACCCTAAACCTCTTAAACTTCCCAAACTCTTGAAACTCGAAAAGCTCTTCAACTCCTTAACACTCGTAAAGCCCCCAAAACAATCTCTCAACCCCCAAACCCTTTTACGCCACCCAACTGTCTGGTGCTTAGTAGGGAATGGGAGAAATGGATCCCTATGATAGTCCCCCAAGTTCCTAAACCCTAAACCCTAAACCCTAAAGCTACTAAGGTCCGTCCCCCATTCCCCCTAAACCCTAAACCCTAAACCCTAAACCCTAAAACCTAAAACCTACTAAGCACCAGACAGCCAAAAGGCGCCACCTCTCCGCTCCCGCGGCATCGAGGAGCCCTTGGGCCAAGAGGCCCCTCAGAGCGGTTCCGTGCTCTTTGTACCTGGGGATTTAGGGTTTAGGGTTTAGGGTTTAGGGTTTAGGGATTGTGGGAGGGTTAAAAGATCTAGGCTTTAGGGTTCACTCGGTTTTGGATTTAGGGTTTAGGGTTTAGTTTGCTGTTCACGGTTTAGGGTTTCTTGTGCCTGGTGCGTGTTTCTTGCAAGGGGGTGGGTGGCTTTGGGGATTCTTGTGTTGGGATTTAGGATTAGGGTTTACGCTTAGGGTTCAAGATTTCCGTGTGTATCTGCGCAGTTGGTGGGTTTTTTGGGGCTCGGGGCTTTAGCGGGTGAAAAGGCGAACCCAGGATCTTGCTACTTGGGTACAGACCTATCCCTGGTATCGCTTCTGATGGTCTTTGCATCTCTTTTGGGACTTTGCCGAATGTTGAGGCAGCTCACGGAATTCGATACGACAACGATATGGTTCGTATGAGCTTGCTAGGACCGACGGCTTCCACGAGCTTCCAACCCAGCTGGCGAATGTAACTAGTGAGACCTACCAGAAAACCCTACACCCCTAAACCCTAAACCCTAAACCCTAAACCCTAAACCCTAAACCCTAAACCCTAAACCCTAAACCCTGAACCCTCAACCCATACCACGCCTGAAGCTCGAAGACCCACCCAAGTCGAAGCACCTCTGGGCTCAAGGCCCTAAACCCTAAACCCTAAACACCCTTAGGGTCCAGACCCTAGACCCCAAAACCCCAAAACCCTAAACAATAAACCCAAAACCTTAAACCCTAAACCCCCTTGGGTTCAGACAGAGCGTAGGCCTGAGCCTTGCTGACCCCCAGGCGGGTGGTGTACGCAGCGATGCTCTCCTCAGGCCCAGAGAGCCCAATAATACCCCTAAATTTAGGAATAAACCTGAATGAAAGTATAGGGGCCTCAATATTAGGATTTAAGGTACCCTAAATTTAGGAATAAACCTGAATGAAAGTATAGGGGCCTCAATATTAGGATTTAAGGTAGCATCAATATTATGATTTAATGTATTCTACCTTGGTCTACATGCCACTCTCGGCTCTGCACGCGCTGCGCCAGAGTGTCCAAGAGATGTGTGCTATACCTTGAATTCTAGGGGCCTAATATTATGGTTTACGGTATATTCCTTATTTTAAGGGGTATTGAACCCTAAACCCTAAACCCTAAACCCTAATTGGGCTCTCTGGGGGCCACGCTAAAGCAGGCGCTTTACGTGAAAGCGAGGATCTTTGAATGGCCTCCGACCCTGGGAAATCTGAGGCTCAAGAAGGGTGCACGAGGTCGTACGAGGTCTTATGGTCACTATTTTCTGCTTAGGGTTTAGGGTTTAGGGTTTAGGGTTTAGGGTTTAGGGTTTAGGGTTTAGGGTTTAGGGTTTAGGGTTTAGGGTTTAGGGTTTAGGGTTTAGGGTGGGTTTCTCGATCGTGGAGTGTCATGATTCACTTGGGGTGCAAGGCACTGGTCAGTGTAGAGCCTCGCGGACGGCCTGTTCATAGCAACACGTTTGCCGTCAAGTGTCTGTGAGCTTGTCCGCTGTGGCCCAGCCGTTTTGATATAGGCAGTCGTCACAGTCCTTGCCGTCGAAACCAGGTAGGGATGGGGCACGGTTGAACATTAATGGCCACACTCACAGCCATCAAGTTCACACTCTCGACAAGCCTTTGCGCATCTGTGCAGTGTAATGTCACCCTCCAGGATTCTTGAGAGCTTGGCCACTTAGTCGGAGCAAAGCTGGCTGAACTTTGACAACCTCACAGCCTTGCAGAACTGGGCTCCAGGAAAATCACTCCGCTCGCGTCCTGGGCTTCCTGGCAAATTGTCATGCACAAATGAAGGCAAATCCCGCATGTGCTGCGACTGCTAGTGGCAGCTGACGAGCTTCCAACACAACATTCACACATTAGGGCCCAAGTCTGTCTTCACAAAGCTTCAACGAAAGTGAAGGAAGAGTGGTCACTACATGTGTGTGTGTGTACGGTCGAGAGGCCATGTCGGGATCCTATGGGAAGCGGCAGAGATCATGATCCCTCCTCTCAAGATTACCTGTGAGACACGATCCCGTTACTGTGCACTGGCCGCGCGCTGTCGCAAGCCATCCATCCATCCATCCATCCATCCATCCATCCATCCCCCTAAACCCTAAACCCTAAACCCCTAAACCCCTAAACCCCTAAACCCCTAAACCCCTAAACCCTAAACCCAGCTGAGGCAGCGGCCGAGTTCGGTCCCATGCGTGGCGCAGGAGCAAAGGAGCTCTGGACGGAGCCAAGGCGACCTCGGGCGGAGCGACTTCTGAGTCCTGGAACTGTTTAGGGTTTAGGGTTTAGGGTTTAGGGTTTAGGGTTTAGGGTTTAGGGTTTAGGGTTTAGGGTTCAACAGCCCAGAGAGCCCAATACCCCTGAAATAAGGAATATACCTTTAGTTATAGGGGCCTTAATATTATGAAGTAAGGTAGTGGTATATTAGGGGGGTATTGGGCTCTCTGGGAGCATAGCATCATCGTAACTTGCGACGGGAGCCTTCTGCTCATCATCGCCATCATCAGCAGCGGAAGAAGCAACCACGTCATCATGACACCATCGATGCCCTAATGCTTGGAGGATCATGGGACTTAGTAAGTAAGGTTATACGTACCCTAATTGGGGTTATAGTTATAGTTACCTTATTTATAGCCCTAGTTACTAAGTCCCATGATCCTCCAAGCAGTTGTTACGTCTTTTATACCTGACTCGACATCCACCCAGATGCAGCCGGCTCACAGGACTGCATGAGTAGAGCAGCAGCCCATACAAACAGCGCGAGCTTGCGCATTGAACGCTTTCTCGGACCCTGAGCGTGAGCTAATGTGGACGTATGATCTCTTGGATGCAGGTGTCACAACCTCTCCGGATACTGACAGCCGCTTTCGATTCTGAGAATGGTTGCCAATCTTGTGACGAGAACTTTAACAAAAAGGGTCAGGCGGGCATTTTCCCTCAGCTCCATGACTGCAAGCAAACCGACACACAACTCTCCGTTCCAACCCATGCACCCGCGCGCACATGCAAAAGAGAGTGAATCGTTTCATCTTCATCCAAAGCAGCTCTAGGAAGAAAGCCATGCTGCTCTGGCAAGTAAACTCAACAGCAGTCACATCTTATGTTTCTGTGAGTGTGCGCGGCTTGATGTGACTGCATGCACGCATGACGACAGCTCCGAATGCAAGGATTTCCCGCGAAAGATCACCCAAGATGGCTATACGTAAGCTACCTGTCTGGGTCGGATGCTTCAAGGAGCTTCGGCATCTCATCACAAGACATCAACATAGAAGTGCAGGAAGGTTTGGGGACAGGTGCCAGGGCTTTCGATGCAGGAAGCGCCCTTTGTTTGAGGTTGTCAGGTGTTTGCCGGGATCTTGCCAGGTACCCTTTCCTCTTTCCTAGAGTGTAGCATTGAGGCTGTGGGGGTTTAGGCTTTTGTCTGTTTCAGGACTTGGGTTGGGCTCGAAGTGATTTGAGGCTCTCAACTCATCCTTCAAAAAACCTGCAACAGTCTTACGGGAACACCTAAAAAGACCATTCTGGTTGTTGCAGCTACTTCGGGATCTCGCGGCCTCCTATCGCCTGACGGTTCCGTTCACGGTTCAGGCATGCACGCTCGAGGCATCGGTGGCTTAGTCTACTACACTGGAAACGAACTGACCTGCGAACTGTCAACACCAGTTGAACCCCAAAGATCTTGACTAATGCCATAAACAAAACCGCTCGAGACCTTGACATTGTCGTGATATCTGCCAAAGCTTACCTCTTACAGCTTATGCAGACTGGGCTTGTTTTGCGCCTGTTACAAGCACTGCTTGGCACAAGATGTGCAGGTGAGGCACACCCGGGGAGGTGATCTTCACCGCAGAACTGGGAATTTCGGTGGCTTGGGATGCCTTGAGTTTGCCAAGGACTTTGGGCTTAGGGTTTAGGGTTAAGGGTTTGTGGATCAGACTCTCCTGCGGTGCCTCAAATTTCGATCTAGCTAGCCACTGCCACGCAGGCCACGCTTGCGGCGTGTCTGAACTGTTCCGTCTCTGCGGGTGCCTAGCGAAGCAGGACCACAACTGATAAACATTTCGGCTATTTAGCTCTAGATAAACCCTAAACCCTAAACCCTCAACGCTAAACCCTAGACCGTACACTCTAGACTGTTTGGAGCTTCGGATACAGCATGCTTCCCCTCTACGGAGGAAGTCAGAAGCCGTTGGAGCTACCGTCACAGACCGGAACCTCTGTACACTTCGGCTGCGCGTGGGGACGAAAGGCCAGGACACATGTTTCTGGCTGTTAGGCTACCCTAAACCCTAAACTCTAAACCCTAAACCCTAAACGTTACGACCCTCACGCAACGACTTCAGGGCTGGGAGATCCTGGCTATCCTCATTAAGGAATCACCGGTAGCTCCTTCGTCCCCGCAGACGCAGCTTCGTCGATTTGTGTTTGACATGAGCTGGCGCACGGCCATAACTTTCTCCGAAGGTCAAGTGGCGGAAAGAGCCTGACTGTCCAAGCTTCACGACCACCACTGGGGCCTTCGCTTACTAGTTCGAACCCGGATGTCGCCCCGGTATTCAGTGTCTCTATGAAACAAACACTTTTGGAAGAGCTCCTTCTGCTGGTCGAAGACGTCTTTGTCAACTTTGTACCGCAAGTCATACAGTTGTTCCATCACGCTCTCGAAGTCGGGCTGCATCGTGCGTACCCGGCATGTCGCGTAAAGCGTCTTGCCGGGGTGGTGATCCTGGAGCTGCTTCAGGACGCGGAGGCGGCGGTTGTTGAAGGATGCCAACTGCCCTGAGCCTCGGAAAGGTGCTTCACTCCGACACATGCCGGCATGCCAGCGACCAGCTAAGTTCCCGGCTGAGGCTCTCGACAATATCGAGCTGGAGAACGTCTGGCCGAATGTCTCCTGCCGAGAGAAATGTGGGCATGGCTGCGGATGTGCGGTCAGCTCACTGAACACTGTCCTCGAAGCAGCTGACGGAAAGTATCCTCGCAGCGCCTGCCGTCGCCGAAGACGTCCGCACAGGAGTCCTGCGTGAACTCGATGTCGTTGACGGGCACGCTTCGCACCCTCAGATGAAGGGGGGGTATGTGTAAGATGTTGATATTGGGATTTTTTTGTAGCTCTTTACTGATGTGACCTGGAGGGATACGCCAGGTTCAGCCAGGCCACTCGTATGGCAGCGACTTCAAAGCCCCCCGAGCGCCGAAGAGGAAGTTGGGAGCTACAGACACGGCCTTGCGGCGAGTTGAGGCCTCCATGCATATGAAGACCTTCAAAACCTGGAAGCCCCCGATGCACTACTGCCCTGATGCTTCTTGTGGCCTCGGTTGGGGCTGGCTTGCGCCAGCCTGGCGGCGGAGTCGACGGCTCCTGGCTTGTCATGCGCACCCGCCCGCAGCTTCGAGATCCGCGGGCACTTCTACACCGCCAAAGCGCCACTTTCAATCCCCGACTGTTCTTTCTTTGCCTTCGGCGTCGGCTTCCAGCCCGGCGGTGGCGTGCAGGGCTCCTCGCGGCGGCTTGGGTTGCCTAAGGGGCTTCGGACTCAGAGCCTTGCTTGGAAGCCGATGCTTTGTCAGCATCCAGGATAGCAGGACTGCGAAGGTGGGGAAGGCCCTGCAAGTTGGCAGTTCGATCTGCATATGTCCGAGGTCCGAGTAACTCTCTGACGGACCTGCACCTTCGAAAGCACCAATATAAGTTCTCGGCACAGATGCGAATCCCGCGGCCGAACAGAAGATGACATCATACTTAACCCTAAACCTTAAACCCTAATAGAGGACATCATACTTAACCAGAGGGGGCCCGGGCCCAAACCGGCATCCTGGCCTTCGGGACGAGTGGCGTCGGCCGGGTCGAAAGCGGCTGCGACCTTCACGCCCAGACCCAGCGAGCCCAATACCCCTTAAGTAAGGAATCGACCTTAAATTATAGGGGCCCTTACAGGGATCTATAAGGGTTTAGGGTTTAGGGTTTAGGAACCTACCTTAAATGATAGGGGCCTCAATATCATGATTTAAGGTATATTCCTTAATTACTTAAGGGGTATTGGGTTCTCTGGGCAGATGGCAGAAGCTCGGCTGCTGCAGATTTCTACGTTTACTATGCCCGCGCCCGCCTGTACTTCGGCGTCGGTCGCAGGTAGTCACCTCGGCCAGCACGCGTTGGTCCTGCCGAGACCGCACCAGTAGGGCTCCGGAGACAAGGAGAGTAGACTTGAAGGGTTTAGGGTTTAGGCTAAAGCCATCTAGGGGCTTAGGATCTAAGGTTTATCTTCGGGGTCTAGGCCTTTAGGGAGTCGGGCTTGAGATGTCCTTCAAGGACTTCAGGGCCGAACAAACAGGAGCTTTACACAGAAAGGACCGGTACCCTTTGCATAATACTGCACTACTACTTGGAGGATCATGGGACTTAGTAACTAGGGTTATAAATAAGGTAACTATAATTATAACCCCAATTAGGGTACTTATAACATCTTATAACCTTACTTACTAAGTCCCATGATCCTCCAAGTACGTTGACCACAGGGGCAGTGATACGCTTCATCTTCCTACACATGAAGGTCCACTCCCCATGAAACCCGGTCCGGAAGGAGCAACGGGTGTCGTGGATTGGGAGCTGCCTCAGCGAATATGCGAGCTTGCAGCGCTGCACAAGAGGTAAAAGAACACCGTGCGCAAGGATATAAAGATTCCCATCGCCCTCACTCTCCCATATCTCCTCACCATGTCTGCTTTATAGAAACACACACACACACACACACATAAACCCTAAACCCTAAACCCTCAACCCTGAACCCTAAACCCTAAGACCCTATAAACCCTAAACCCTAAACCCTCAACCCTCAACCCTGAACCCTAAGACCGTGTAAACCCTAAACCCTCAACCCT